GCTACTAGTAGCAATAGCCTCCAACCTAATAGGGATGGCCTCCACCTAGTAGCTTCTTGCTACTAGTAGTGGATGATAGATGGTCCAACCCATCACGACGCATCAGCCACTCGAGTTCTGGAGCCATGTGTGACCGATTTGGACACAGCATGCGCACCCGCCCAATCCCTGGCCAAAAATGACCAAAAACATGCCCCTCCGCATGCCTGCCGTTACTTATTGTCCCTCAGCAAAAATCTGTCACCCTTTTGCAAGTCCAAATCATTCGTGATATTAGTATCATTTTGACGTATAGCCTCCACCTTCAGCACACAACATCTTCACCACCGGCTCCAGACCCAGTGCTCCAAACCCGGCCTCACCAGGCTCTCGCCGCCACCTCGAAGCGCGGCGGACGCCATGCCCGACATCGCCCGCCCGTGGCGCCGCGGGGGGGCGCGTGGTGCCGCGTGGTGCTGTGGGTCTGAGTGCGATCGGCGCGGCGAGCGGCCACCGACGTGTGTGGAGTGTGAAGTCGGTCGTGCCACAGCGCTGGTGCGAACAGGTGTAGCTTTGCCACGAGTGTAGCTTGGGATATTGTGTTGGGGGGGGGCATTTCTTGAGTAAAGGCCTTCAGAATCCTTCAGAAAGGAATGTGAGTGAGCTCTTCGACTGTTGTCTGGGCTTGTCCTACTCACTGCAAGAGTCAAGATAAGGGTATCTTCTTGGTGAAGGTCCCAGCCATCATCGGATGATAGACCGCGGGTTCGCTCATCCGGTGAAGCCCAAATCGACACCACGTCAGTCCCAACCACCACGAGGCACCGAGCCAGAAAACAACCACCCGACGCCAAAAACCAACAAAAATCCAAGGCCAAAAGGAATTTTGCGGAGTGGCACTCGGTCCTATGCAGCGGTTCAAATGCGCATGGTTTGGAAAAGAAACTGTACTTTGTGCAGGGGTGGCTTGTGGCAATGAAACCCTGTGAAGCCCTGGCTTGTTCGAAGACCATCGAAGACCAACATGGACGCTTTGCACATTTGCCCTTGATTGATTCCTCTGGCCTAAGCTACCTCAGGAAGACCTGGCCCACCCCTGGCTTTTTTCATTTGCCGTTGGCTTTCCTTCAGCGATGTCCTGCATGAGTGTTGCGCTGCTTTCCTCCTCGCCCTGAGTCTTGGGAGGACCAGCCTTGCAAAACTCTCCCGAAACTTCACCCTCGCAGTGGCCACGAAAACATTCAATGAAGGCAGGGTAAGCATCCCTCCCTGGTAGAACTTCCACAGGACTTTGTCCTTGCAACATGTAAAAACAACTAAAAACATTCACTATATATAGTTCTATGCTACACATGACATGTGGTTTTGAAGGCATGGTTTTCCTCCCAATGAGATCGCCAATTCTTCTAGCTCGCGATCTTGCCGCGTCATCTGGACATCCAGGCCATCGCTGCGCCGGCCCCGGTGCGTTTGCAGTCGGGACATCGCGGCGGACCAGTCCCGGGCGCGTCGCATCCGGACAGGAACGACTGTTTTGAGCTTTGAAGGGTGCACAAAGTTCGCAAACTCACCAAGCGGAAGAACCTAAGGACAACACAGAACATCTCGCTGCGCTTGACATATCAACGGGACTTGCAGGTGCTGGTGCATCCTGCTGCCAACAGGCAGTCCAGTTGAGACGCGCGACAATTTTGCTCGTGAGAGCTAGCAGCTAGCATCGTCACCACGACAGATTCGGCGCATACCCTCTGTTGAAACTGGGTGACTGACTGAGGGATACTGAGGGTTTCTTTTGGATGTTAGTTGTGCATTGTGGGATTATTCTTCAGATTCTACAACGTCCTGGACACAACTTCTATGCCTGCGAAACATCGACATGTCTCAGGGACAACCTTCTCCATGTCTATTCTAAAACAAAGTACGGGACGAGCCCATGACCTTGGAGTCACAAACTTGGAGGGCTTGCGGCTTGAGAACTTCCAGTGTCTTGACACCTGGCAGGAAATTTGGGCCCACAACTTTCTCGCCCCATTGATTTGGATATTAGATTGAAGCAACAAAAAACATCCAAGAGCTCTGAACCGAGGGTATGTCTGGTCTGCGCAACTCAGGAACCCAGGGTGTTCTTCTTCTGGAACATATCCTGCACGCGGCCCTCGCATGGCTGTGGCCATGAAGAAAGGAGCCTCTGCTGTGAAGATGTGATCGAAGCAGCAAGAACATCTTGGTGCCTATGCCAGGCTATGCTAGGCATGGCTGGTGAAGCTTCTGCACAACCACCCAACTGTTCTTAATACACTTCAACCAGCTCTAGCATGCTTTAGCGATATGCACCACCCCGGCTCCAAAGCCACTATTCACATCACCATGCCACTACTCACGCAATTGCCCCCATGAATTTCTGGTGAAAGGAGGCTCCCAAGTCTTGACCCGAACCGCTACTGAGCAAGGACGCTACTAGTACTTGTAGCTCCTGGCACTGCTACTATATAGTAACAAGGGCATTGCTACGAGGAGCAAGGGGCACTACTGGGTCCCAACCCTTCCAATTAGTAGCTTCTTGCCACTAGTAGTACTGGCTGGAGCTACTAGTAGCGTCCTTGCTCCTAGTAGCGATGCCCTTGTTACTAGTAGTAGCTTCTTGCACATCCATCCACCACGTTCCGCCCGAAAATCCCGTGCCAGTCTCAAACCTCCACTCCACCGGTCTGGACGTTCCGCGCGCGTTGGCCCGGCCAAATGGCGCCGTGCGGTGGACTGTCCACACCCCGTTCGGGTCCAGAAGCTCTCCAAAGGGCGCTGCCGGATCCGGCTCTTTTGGCCTCGGAGCAGGGGGAAGGAGCTGCCGGATCGGCCCCCGGGGTTGCGCCGTGTTCTGAGGTGGGGTGGGCGTTGAGTGTTTGGTTGAATAAGCCGGAACTCTGTTTGTTTTTAGGATTTTTGTCAAAGCTATCTAACCAAGGGCGCAAGAGAGATTTCACCAAATCTCTGGCCTGTAGTTGGCCCACAATGGGCCGTAGTGATTTTATGCCCTTTTTGGACCTTGTCATCGGCTTCACAACAAATTCAGCGACGTAATTGGAAGGCTCATACGCTGGGTGTCTGATGAATTCTGTTGTTATTAAACGGCTGATCTTCGCGTCATGTCTACGTAACTGGAAGACATTGTTGTCTACGATGCATGAGGAAAGTGTAGTTGATGCACGTTAAAAGAAGAATCCGTGCGCGATGGTCTGTATGAACAAGTATCTAATTACTCCTGTTGTTAGAAGACGGATGACCTGCGTGTCATGTCTACGTATACAATGGGCAGCCGGTTGACGCTTTTGTCCACGCTACATTGCTACATGAGGAAAGTGTTTATGTTTAAGTGTAAAGTTTGAAAGACTTGGTCTGAAAAGGGGAAGCTGCATTTGGCAATAGATAACTATGAAAACATAACTCTCAAAGCTTCCAAAACCTTGATACTTGCGGGCAACTTGAATTGACTGTTGAAGTGTCAATTCTACTGGGAAGTGCACAGGAGAAATCTTCCCCAACGTAATTACGCCATCCATCCATGACATAAAATTACTGAACGAATCTTCCTCAATCTAATTATAGTCAATACGTACATCCAACTCATGTGGCTGATCAGAACTGCCATTCCGCACCACGGCCCGTCCGTCGGGCGGTGGACCTAGTTGGACCTCATTGACCTTGCCTTGGTTATGTGCCCAATCCAGCGCGGGACGCCGGCGCCACTGTAGCTCCCGGCTGCGCCATGTCGAAGGAGGAGATGCCTTGGAGCGACGATTCAAGAGAGACGCGACTGCCTGGCACAGCTAACATGGAAGTGGAGAACCCATGTAATGGAGAGGTTGAGAGACTATAGTGGTACACATGGAATAGGCCCCCAAAAGGGCTGTTCAACCTCTCTTGGACTCTTTGGAGAGGACATGAGCGGAGCAACATGCATCCCATGGAGCCTGTTCCACATCCATGTGAGTGAGAGCTTCCTTAGCTTCAATGGGAGCAAAACTTGGAAACACACTTTTAAGATCTTTTAAGCAGTTCAAATCAAAAGGAACACCTGCACCCGGCCGGAGTCTATCTTCGTTTCTTTAGGTGGCTAGGGGGGGGAGCAAGCCATTGGCAAGCCACAGCCGCCGACGATTCAACCTAGCCATCAAGGACGCCAATAAACACGGACCTTTCGATTACCAAGCCCGGTGTCCTGAATTATGGAATGCTTCATCTTCGCTGTCAGGTGGCACGTGGGCTCACCTGGCATGCAAACCTGCCAATGGCGCCTTGACTGCTCTGAACCTTCCCAGGTCGTACCAAACCACCCCAAACTCCCACATAGAGGGTCTTGACCGACCCTTCATGGACCACCATGGCGCTACTTGCTACCAGAGGCACGGTTGGGGGGCGGAGGCCGGTAGCCTCCAGCGCCTGTAGGCCAGGGTGCAGGGCCTCGGGGCGGTTAGTTGGTGCGACGTTCGAATGTTGGTTGATGGATCCAAAAAGCATCTAGCCTAGCCTAGCCCCTCTCTCTCTCTCTCTGTATGTATATATAATATATATGGCGTAGGGGGAGCGTTCCCTGATTCCCTGTGAGTTGCACCAGTCTGTTGATGAGTTTCCTTCAAGGTCTGACGACAGTGTTTCAAAAAGGGAGTGATGACCTGCACCTGCTGTTGGATCGTAAGGTTTCACCCGACCGTTCTACTTGCTTTTGGTGAACGAAAACTAGGCAGAAAGGCTTTTGCACTGGCACCGTCGCACCACCAGTCACACTGGGAGCATCTTATGAAGGCATCTGTGCCGGCTGTGCCGTGTCCCACGGAGTGGAGTGAGTAACCTCTGTTCGAAAGCGAATGCTCTGGGCATCTGGCTGCTGCCGGCCGGCACCTGGTGGCTGGAAACTGAGGTCGTTCATGGATCGTTGGGTCTTTGTGTTCAAAGGATTTCCAAGCTATACTCGCTCCAAACCAAAAAAGGGGTAGATAGGGTTATATACAGTTATGCAGTTTTAGAACTCCTTTTCTTTATCCGGGTTGGTTTACTGCGATCCGGGTCACGATCCTCAAATCGGTGTCTTCAAGAGTGGTGGATCGGTAGGATATTGCTGAACGGCTTTGCAGCATCTCTCAAACAACTGGCCTGGGCTCGGTGGCCACGTGGCCTCATGTTCTGCTCACGATCGTTGGCCCGAGGTTGGCCCACACATGAATGCCCAGCATCTGTTCAATCATATGGCCTTTGGCCAACCATTCTTTTTGAGAACCGTCCTGCCAAACAGACCCTCCAACCCTACACCATCTTCCATTCCACTTCAAGGTTTGTCCCCGGTTGACCCCCAGTCACGCTCACGCCATCGCAAACGCTGGACCCAGGACGACCTTCTGTTGTGCCGGTGGTGCTCTCGCCTTCGGCATGGATTGGCACCAAGCTCCGATGGCCGGTTTTTCTTGACGTCTCGTTTTCGTTTTCGAACGTCTGACCGCGGACGTCTGGGTCCTTTGGTTCGGGCCTCGGACGTCTAGAGTCGTTGTATCCGTCTGAAGCCACGCCATTTGTCGTCCCATTTGATTTGTTCTTAGTATTTGTTTTTTTTTTAAAGTGATTTTAGATGGTGGATTGGAATGCTGTGGTATGCTGTGGTTTTGTGGTGTTTTGAATTGTGTGTTCAGGGTTCATAGTTCTTGTTCAAGTCTCAACTCGGGTGGGGCAGTTGAAAAGGCTTGGTGCAAGAATTCACTGGAACCACCAATTCCTATGAATTCGAGAGCAGCCTTTCCGGACCGGAAGGAGAGCATAGAGATCCCCAACTGGCCCCATCCCAGTGGTGCGTGCGGTTCGATGTCAACCGGTGCGAATGACAAAGGCAGGTGCAGGCCAGTCCCTGTGGAAAGTAGTTGACTAAACCTAGAACCTCACTGTAGTAGCGTCCTTGTTCCGAGTAGTAAGGCCAGGAGACCCCTAGTAACTGGGATGAAGCCAAGAATCCAGTTTGATGGGCCCAACCGTGGTCTCAACATCTCACACCACTTTTCTTCGCTTTTTTTGCGGAAAAAAAAGACTGAAGTCAGGCGAAGGAAGGCGGCCCTGGAAGGCGGACGTGACGTTTGGCTTGTGTAGCTTTGGCTTTAACAAAGCCCACGGACTAGTCAGTCGACCCCGTAGATCTGTCAGCCGATCCAAATGGCTTGCACCCGAAAGTTAGTACGGCCACGTCGGCCTGCAGTGGCCAGGCCATCCTTGATGCAGCTGAAGCAACATCTCTTCTAGCCAGCTCAAAGCCAAATGTCCAGTGGGGGTTCCTTGCTTGCATAATTATAAGGGTATGCGTTGCCCCCAAAACCTCAATAGACCCTGACACCGACCACTTTCCTCGCCTGCTTTACGCCAACCCCACCTAGCTTCAACGTCCTATTTAAAATCTTGACAAGCTAGATTTCCTTGAACTTCATCTGCACTTGGGCGATAAACGCCCGGAAGCTACCCATCGCCTTGCATTCTCCAGGTCCAAACCTAATGGATTGGCTTGGTTCGCTAGCTGGGGTCATACACAAACGTTCCATACACGTCTTCGCGTCATTGCACCTCATCGGTAGCCCACTGCACTTCATGAATATCCTTCTCTAAGTCACCCGTTGCCTGGCATGGCCCAGGCCCAAATCCAATGGATTGGCCTTCTGTCCAGTCTTACTCTTCTTGTACAAGTATCTCTGTCTTTGCTAAAGGTCATCCGGTGCGACGACAATCGCGATGCAACCTGTATGAAGTGGACAGCACAGTTGAAGGTTGTGCCTCACCAGTCTAGAACTCCAGGCTTAAGAATCGAAAAAACCGTCTTCTTTTCTCAGGTCAGCTGCAAGAATCTTGAGTTAGGGCTTTAGCAAGTTCATCTGCAGGTGCCCTCCAAATAAGGAATCCCAGCAGGAGGCTGTGGACGGCGCGCGGCAGTGGCATGATGCATGATCGCAGGACGATCATGCAAGCACTTTCTTCTGATGGTAAAGCCGACTGATTTTTCAGCTTGAGCCTCATGAACAGGTTAGAAGTTGAAGCAACTGAAGCAACTCGGTCTTGACTTGCTAAAACATATGAATTGAACTTTCACCTCCTTCGCAGAACATAGAGCCGGCGAGGCCCCAATGAGTCCTTGTATGTCCTTGCATGTGCATTGAGGAATTGAAACTTCTGATCGAATGCTTCAATTTCCAAAAAGGAATAGCACTACTACTGCTGCTTGCATTCGGACCTTTCTTCACACCACTTAATTTTGTATATATATATATGTGTGTGTGTGTGAATATATATATATATATGATATATGCACTAAATGTTAGTGGACACCAGTCCGGCCGAGCTTTTACCCTGAAAACACGTGTGTTGTGTGCCTGCAGCGCACTGGAGATCATATACTGGAGCTGCACCAACTCCTGTGTCCAGCAAACTTCTGGGGCGCACTCGGCTGTCGCACACCAGCAGATGTGACATTTGTGGTCATTTGGGTGTGTACTACATAAATTTAAAATAAGGAGACCTCCCAAAGACCCCGTGGAAGAAGGGACCTAGACCAACTTAAGCATCTTAAGCATGAAAGCGAGTTGGAGGCCCTGACATTAGAGTGTTCTTTCCTTGTGCGCTTATCTGGGGTGGTCACTGCAAGCCGTCGACTGACACAGCAAAGGTCAAAAACCCATTGGTTGGGTGTCCCCCGATTAAAATACACACCAACAAAGAGATGAAGAGATGAAGTGCAGGGGTTGCCTGAACTCCTCGGGGACCGAGGACCTGAAGATGCACTGAAAGACGAACGTGGTGGTAGCACGACAGTGACTTCACTAACCATGCTCCTGGTCCATCTGGAAATACACCCCTCAGATTTGAGAGTCGGTGGCGCAATGTCTGCCAAAAAACAATACATCTATAGTACAACAATGCAAAACATCGCGACACCCCTAGCAGCTGTGACAGGTCCCCCAGTCGCCCAGTGGGCAGCTCAACCATAGCTGGGACACCACAAGGATCACTTTCCCCAAGCGCCGGAACGCCACGCGGAATGCCACACTCCTGTGGGGACATCCGCTCTAGCTGATGTGGGGTCAGGCTGTTGGCCTTGGTCCAAGTCACGAGAGAAGAAAACCAAGCGACGATCCAGAAGAACGACCGATGCACTAAGAGCTCCGTTCGTAGCGGTGCGAACGCTCCGTTCGGGCCCGATACCCGTCCTTGCTCCGTTCGTAAACGTCCGATCGCTCCTAGTAAGGCCAGGAGCCCCGTTCGTAGCGTCCTGAACTCTACAAAAAGGAAGTGCTCATCTATGTTTCATCTTCCCGGGCCCCTGAACACACTGTTCACAGTGCGGGGAGTTATTCATGGTGATCGGCACCGATTCCATTCCTGCCTCCTGCATGGGACTGGCAGATTCTCAGAGTCCCATGCCAACATAGTTCTCCGTTCAATCTGTGGATGTGAAGGACTATCATACAAGGGCAGGCCGCGCTGGGGCGCTGTGACGATTCTCAGGCTGCTGGATGGGGACGAATTATGGCTGTCTCCATAACAACTACAGTATATAGTATGGCACGTATGGTCCTTCTTGGAAGGCAAACGCTGGCGGTGCCATTGTGCATGGCAATCACAGCATCTTCTCTTTGACTTGCTCCGTCCCGGTTCTTCGGGTGTCCTTCGCGCTTGGATTTCAACATGATGCTTTCGTCTCCAAGGTGAGATGGGAGAAAGAAGAGCTGGAATGCCCGGCCTACTCCCTTCTACGTTCTGCTTGTCCCCCTGTTGATCGACCATCCAGCTTCAACAGTCCCTCGTCTCCATGTCTAGGCATATGTCCCATTCGTGAAATTGCTCCGTTTGTAGCGATGCCCTTTGCTGTAAGGCCTGGAGCCCCTAGTAGCGTCCTTGCTCCTAGTACCGATGCCAGGAGCCCCTAGTAGCGTCCGCAGTGTATGCCATGTGTCTGACATCCCAAATGTCGCTCGGGGCGCCCGGGCGAGTGCGCCGGAGCCGAGCTGTTGAACGAGCTCCGGCGTGAGCGACATCGACGCCTCGGTGCCCACGGAGAGTCACAGCGAGTCGAAAACCGGAGCGGAAACCGGAGTCAACGCGTGGCAGTGAGTGGTGATCCATGGCCCCAAGAATTTCGACACTTTTATGGTAAACGTCTGGCAAACAACAAGAGTGGTGTAAATATAGGGCGTCATCCACTAGACATCCACTATGGTAGACATAGGTTTGAGGAGCCACATCTGGCACTGCCAGGTTTAGTTACACAACACTCGTGGTAACCAGCGTTCTGTCCCACCGGCCAACCCCCGCTGGGTGCCCTGTGCCAGTGCGGGCGGCGGCTGTGAAGGAGCCGCTGCAGAAGAGCCAGCGGTGAGATCTGGCAGGGTGAGATTCGGCATGATTCAGCCAAGACTAAAGACTGTAGACCAAGCTGGATCAACCGAGAACGAGTCAATCATCAGTGATGAATCACGCACAATTCATTAATCACCCTGATCACTTTTTCACCTTCCAGTATGGTCTGTTCCTCTTCCCCCCTTTTGACTCTAGCTATGCATGTCCATGTCTGGTTTCTTTTGGAACAGCTCACCCCTTCCCACATGCCGACGGAGTCACCTGTGTCGCCGACGGAGTCGTCGCCGATGAAGAACATTTGAGGGCCAGGTGAGGTGCTGCCCGAGGCAATGCCTTACGTAGGGCGAAGTGCCACCAGGTTCGCCGTTTGTGGGGCAAGTCATCGGGCTTCCAAACATAAAAGAAGCCAATGCCTTACTGAGTCGCTGGTAGCGGCTAATCATAGTCGCACCCCACAAAGATCAAAGCCAACATATTATACTTAAAGCTGGGCTTGCTGGTTTGCCCTGCGTCAATCCAGCCAGTCCGGATGGTTCCTATGTATGCATAAAACAGTTCGAGAATGAGAGCACTTCATTACACTTTGGCACAAATCGCCCCCTGCTTTCTTCGACCTACGAAAGTCTATGTGGTGGTCACAACTAGTGTGACAAAGATGCAACGACAAGTACGTACTATATTAAAATAGAGAGAGAATGAGAGAGAGAGAGAGGGGCTTTTGTCTCAACCTACTCAAACATTATCAAACTTGCACCACACTACACCTACACCATCAAATTGACATTCTGTAGCGGGAACGCAGCGGTAGCGAAAACAAAGGGCTCGAAGAAACCACGTCGATCGAAAGGCAGCCGGTGCCTATGGCTCTCTTTTCTAAGACCGCTGAGGTCTGGCTTCAAAAAGGGGCCCCTGAGCATGAACAGCCACGGTGGAAAAGTGGCATCTTTACATGGAAGCTCGATGCACGTGTTGCACCGGTAAACAAAAGGACTCAGACTTTGTCTGATGAGCATCGAGCTTGGCCAGCGCAGTCTTGCCGGTCTTCTTGTTCTTCTTTGCCGCTGTGAACGTCGGGTCGAAGTTGATCGCCCACTTCCAGCTTTGGAGGAACCGCTGGAGACCCAACCTGCTGTCCAGCCGCTTTTTTGTGAGCGCGTCCCCGAGGTCGTAATCGGACGCTACCCACCTCAATTCACAGCCTGTGCGCTTCAGGTGGTCGCGCAATTGAAAGGCTTGTAGGGCGCTTCGAAGGTTGGCCAACCCCAGTAGCGGCGACTCATTGACTTCGACTGCGTCGAACCCTCCTCGGCTGTCTGTGCACAGCACGCCGTGCACACGGCGGACGATCTCCTCCATGGCGTCCACCATGTCGAAGCCACGTAGGCTTTGGATCTTCAGTCCGGCGCCATGGATTTCAGCCCATAGCAATCTGCAGCGGAACAAGACATCTTCCGTCTCCAAAATCGCCTGGACCTCCGCGTCATTGCTTCCCACTGCCCGGCGTTTTAGACGCCAGGTGCGCCAAGCCAAGAGGCTCATCCTGCAGACATGTCCGGCTTTGCAAGCCGGTGATGAGGCCAGGATTACGAAGCCTCCAGTGCTCTCGCCCTTGCTCCTGTTGTTGTGAGCTTGATCGCCCATGCCGATGAACACTACCTCGGACCAGTGGGAGATGTCATCAAACTTCACGAACTCGAGGGATGTGGCCTGAGCACGGCATTCGGCAATCATTGCCTGGATCTCCCTTGCATGCTCCAAGGTTCCGGCAGTGGTGACCTCTGAGAGGAGCAGGTTGCACCGCGCAGTCAAAAGTGGTTGTGACTGCACAGCGAGCCACTGTAGGGCTCCAAGTGCCGTTCGGCACGCTGCGACCTCTGAGGGTCGAAGAGCATCTTGCTCCCGGAGACGGTTGCCATCGATGTCAATGTCCATGAGCCCTTCCACATAGCTGTTCTGGTCGACCACAATCTTGAAGTTCCCAGAGCGGTCAACCACGGTGTGAACATCAGAGCCAGCGTGCCTGTAGGAACCCTGCTTCATGGTTCCCCACTGGTATGCAGAGTCGATGAGGTGGCACACTTCATTCCACTCAGCTGATGTTTCATCACCAATCCTGTGGAAGTCGTCCACGTGTCCGCCCATCAGGCCGATGAGGCGAGGATGATCACCATGTGGATCTTTTTCGTGCTTGCTGTACCAAGCCCATAGACATCGTTCACCTCGAACCACGTGGCCGCCCAGAGATGTGAGTTTCTCATTGAGCGACAGCCATAGCCCGCGGGGAGCTGTGGTGCTGCCATATATGTTTCGAAGAATCCGCAGGCAGGAATCTTCAGGAGCTCCAAGCGCAGCACGAAGTTCCGGCACCCCATAGGTGTAGAGCTGGTTATCAGCAGCTGTGGGCTCGGTTTGCAGGAAGGCAGAGGCCAAATCAAGTCCTTGCAACTTCCATTGATGTGTCACGGAGGCCATGTAGATCATATGGCGTCCCAATGTAGAGATGACCGGGGCAGACGTTTTGAAGTTGCGCTCAAGCAAGCTTGGATGCTGGAAGCCAAGCAAGACGATCCTTGCTTTTGCCTTTCTGGTGGCATCGTGATTTACCACCGTGTTGGGGTTGTTGAGCTGATCTAGTACTGCTTCTTGACGCTCATCAGGCGTGACAGGTTTCCAAGTCAGCACCCATCTTGCCTTCAGAATGCGTCCGCTGCCAAAGGCTTCACGAGCTTCGTCATCATCCAGGCAGCGTCGAACTGCGCTGTTGCGCAAGAAGGAAGTGACCTCCTTGGACTTGGCCCGGTTGAAGAGAACCAAGTCCTGAGCACTAACATTTTTGAGGTTCACCTCGGAGGAGTTGAGCTTCTTGGTCAGGTAGAGGACAGGGTCCTGCATGAAGCTGCGGCGTTGTCGCCGGTTCTTCAGCTCAATGTCCACTTCGATGGAGAGGCATTCACCATCATAGGACTCCAGGAAGGCGAAGAGGTCGTGGTGTGTGATCTCATCTTGCGCCTCTTCACGAAGCAGATCCAACCATTTGAGGTCATACTCAGTCTCATGGTCGCCACGATGGCGTTTGACTTCTGGCTCCTTGGCGTCGGCCAATTTGAGCTTCTTTGGATCTGGCGCTTCATTTTCTCCATAGTCATTGACCCTTGTAGAAGACGAAGGCAGGGATGTAGTGCCCTCTGGTTCAGGATCATCGCCAGGTTCTGGATCTGGCAGAGATGGTGTGTACTCTTCATCAGGAACCTTGAAGTCCTCTGAAGTCGGCGTTGTCCGCGGTGGAGGCAAATACTTCTTTGGAGCAGGAGGTGCTCGGGCTTGACCGATTGGACTAGATCGATGCACGACCTTGTAGTCGGAGTCCTTCAGGGTGGATTTTCCCACAGCTCGGCGAATCGGAGCCAGCGTGGTCTCATCTGGAGCCGCTGGTAGGTCAGGTAGTTCCTGATCGAGTTCGCCGGGTTCTTCATCAAGAAGGTCGGTGTACTCCTTCTTGGGGATCATATCATCCAAGGACTTCCATTGTGTGGGGTCTTCCCCTGATGAAATTTCGTGCCGAAGTCGTTCAGTTTCATTTGCAGGCCGGACGGAATGAACTGAACAGCGAAGAAGCTTCCGTCCAAAAAGAACCCAAACAATGTGTTGCCTCTTGTCATCAATGTCTTGGTGTGGGATTGCTTCAGCAAACACAACTCTTCCAGGTCCCACCCATTGAGGCCTTCCAGACTTCTTGTGTCCTCCACGAGAACCTTGATGTTGTTCTCCAGCTTGAAGTTTGCGCCAAACCATGACCAGTTCTGTCGGCGCATACTGTCGGACAGGCTGTCGGACAGTGGTGTTGGCCAGCTTGCTTAGCACCCTTCTCGCACGCGATCGACGCGCAATCTCCTCAGCTTCAGAGCGAGCCTTGGTGATCCGAAGAAAATCTTCCTTGGGCTCGAAGGCATTCCATATGCGGATGTCCTCGTCGCTGATGGAGTACTTGGTGCCAAATGCCCATTGATGGGAAGAGTAGCCGGCGGTGTACTCAGTGCCATTCAAGGCTGAAGCTGCCAGTGTGAGAGTCATCTCAGGGCTGTTGCTCAGGTTCTCCTGGTGGATAGCTGTAGCCACGTGCTTGATGTCAGCAATGGCGGCCTCCACAATGCCATGACTCCACGGCTCTTTCTCAGGAGGGTAGTGGACCTGAATGTTCTCGGACTGGAGGAAGTCGTGGAACTTTGAAGAGATGAAGCTCTTAGCATTGTCGGCAACCACCAGTTTTGGTCGTGGATAGTGACCAAGCCAGCCTTGAACAAGTGCCTGAATGATCTCATCGGTTGCCTCGGGTTGCATAGCCAACTCCGGGTAGAGCTTGAGAAGCACCACAACACGAAGCTTGGTGGCCAGGTCGATGATCAGCAGGAATCTGGCCTTCTTTCGTAGACCAGGAACCAGCCATTCGGAGGTGTCCAAACCAATGCACTCCCATGCACGTGGTAGTGCGTGAGTTGCTGCAGGAGGAACTTGGCCCGATGATGTGCCACCTGGCTTGAGGGCCTTGCAGGTCTCACATGTGTGCTCCAGAGCCGCTTGTATCTTCCACAATGGACCTCCAGCCTCTCGCACAAGACGAGCGAGGTTGCGGGCAGTTGGATGACCCGCAGCTTTGTGGAAATGGGCCAGTCGAGCCTTCCACTTTTTCAGCTCATCCGAGGTTGGAGTCAGGGAAGTAGAGCTGGGTGTGGCACCACCTTCGGGTAGAAGTTCTTGTCCCGCTGGTTGTTCTTGGAGAGCAGGTAGTGCTTGAAGTGCAGTGCGCTCCATGTTGATCTCGTCCTCAATCGGGACCATGTAGGGCTTGTCCTCCTTGGCAAAGATGAGCTGCATGTTGCGGTCAGAGACATACTCTTGACGCCATGCCAGGGCCATCGATTTGACCATGCGCCAGGGATAGTAGGAGCTCTTGGATGTCTCGGCTCCCTGAATCCAGGCATGTCGGTGACTGCCAGGACATACCTTAGCTTTGAAGCGCTGGTGGAAGAAGGAGCTGGTTGTCCGAATCATCCATCGCTTCCGAAGAAAGTCGCCAGCACCATCATCAGCACGGAGACCATAGTTGCACCCATCAACACGGCATGGAAGCCATTCACGGCCGTGAGCTTGGAGGAGGTGAGCAATGTATTCCAAGGGTCGTTGATTCCATCCTTCACAAGGCCAAGGCCACTCCCAGTAGATGTCGGTCTCGGGATCCTCGTTGAGGGTGTCTTCAATGAAGTGAGCTGCTTGCCATAGCATGCGTCGCTCCCGACGGCGATAGGTGGCTAACAGTTCTTGGCGCTCCTCAGTGGAGTAGTTGAGCTTGGACCATTGGCACCACTTGGTGCAAGGAAGACTGAACCACAGTCGCCGGGGACGATGACGGCGTCGAAGACCCTTCAAATGCTCCCAGGTTGCCGTCTTATAGATGTCATAGCCCTGTTGGAGGTTGATCCGGCGAGGTCGAAGACCTTGTTGGTCGCAAGCTTCACTGAGCCACGAGTGAGGTGCACAGGCGATCTCCCAAATGCCATCCTGTTCATCGAGGACGAAGTCCATAGTTGTTGATGCCATAGAGCTCAACAGCGTTGTAGCCATCAGCAGCAGCTTCGCGGCCATAGAGCTCTTCAAGGGCATAGTGGAAGAAGTCGATGAAGTCATGCATCCTCCTCGTAGGCCTGAGCCAATCCGGTCATGGCAGCCAGGTCTTGCTCTTCCATCACAGCCTTGCGTTCCTCGAGGAGCTGCATGAGCTGTTCCATCTCCTTGGGGTTCAGCAGCTGCTTGACATCCTTCTCGAAGTGGTCGGTCGGTGGAGGCGTGCAAATCTCCCATGAGGAAGGATTGGATGTCTGACCCTTTGTCTTGTTCCTCGAGGTCGGAGTCGCCGGCGAGGTGGAAGGATACCCGGAGCTTTTCACCACAGCCTTGCCCGTCTGCTCCGGCATGTTGCGCTCCCCTTGGATCTTGGAGATCTGGCGGTGCACGAGGTCCTCCAGGACGATGTCCGCATCCACCTTCTTCTGCATGGCATGGACGATCTCGGCCGATGGACGTTCCGAGTTCATCAAAACTTTCAACTCGTCCAGCATCCGTTGAACCAAGGGTGGAGCATCGGTCTTGGTGTTCTGGCCATGGGAGCCCCTGCGAGGGACATACATCCAGCGGATGTTGCAAACTTGGCAGTGTTGCCATTGACCGTGAGGATTCGCTCGCACTGAGCCCAGATGATGTTCCCCGTAGCACGGCCACTGCTCCGGACTCATCCGAGGATCTCTTGGATCCGGGCCGACTCCTCGAGGAGGATCGAAGGGCCGAGGCGGCTCCTTCTCGCGGCTGCCGGTGATCTTCTCCCTGAAGTCCGCGGCTGCCGTCTTGATGTCCCAGATCTTGTTCCCCTGCTCTTCGGTCAGCTGGCTGCCCTTGCTCCGGGACATGGCAAGAGTGGTCCGGGGAAATCGAATTGGGCGTCGGGCTTCCAGCCACGTGTATTTGAGCAGCTGAGAGCTGAAGACGGCGGCCACAAACATAATCATGTAGTGTCATCAAATGTTGACGTGACCGTCGGAGTCGTGCTTCATCATGTTCATGAACAACTCGTGCATGTTCTTGGGAAAGAAGTTCCAAGGGCATGAACTGAAGTGTGTGGTGGTCGTTGATCGTGTTGGAGGTGTCTTTCTCAATCACATGGATGTGGGGATGTCCGTCATGACATGTAAAACCACGGGTGAGGAAAAAGGCGATGTCCAACATGTAGTGGCCCTTTTTGTTCTTTTCCAACTGGTAAATCTCAGGATGGGCCTCATGTGAATCCAAGGCAAAACCTGTTGCAAAATCAACCATCATGGATGAGTGTGGACCTGCCAAATGGTTCATGCCGATCAGGATGGGGACCAGTTGCGACCGATCGAACGAAGGATCATGAAGACCTGGTGGATTTGGTAGTGCATAAAGTTCGAAACAATGAGGCTTTCCAGAAACAGCCGAGGTCAACGAAACCCGATAAAGCGCTTGTCCCCATTTGCCGTTCCCGAACCTGAAGTAGGGCCGATCTTCTTTGTGAATCGAAACCACGGCCTGTCGGTCACGGTCGACGATCGTTGAGATCAGTTGCTCAACTGCAATTTGAGGGCCAGCAGAAGCTGTAGCCCCGCAATCCAGGAGACCATGTGTCTCAGGTGGAGAAACTGTGCGCTCAGTCTCATTGATCTGAGCCTGCAAATCTAAGGCACCAAAGAGCATCTCCGTGTTGTAGGCATTGACGGAAGGTCGTCCCACTGGGGCATTGGACTTGCCCTTCCCTTTCTTGCCTTTTGTCCAGGCTTGAGCGTCAAGCCAGTGGACATTCTTTCCTTTCTTGCCACCACCCTTCTTGCCCGTGAAGAAGTCGTCGTACGTGTACGGATCATACTCAGTCATGTAGTTCCATTTGCTCTTGCCTTTTCCCTTGTAGGGACCAGGGTGTCGACGGTCGGGGCATTCTCGAGAAAGGTGAGGACCTCCGCACTGGAAGCAGGGACCACGTCCTTTGCCCATGCCACCTGAGGGAGGTTGCTGTCCGCAGCCACGATCCTTGCGAAGCGCGGCAGTCGCTCTTTGAGCTTCAGCCCAAGAGCGTCGAGCTTCCACAGCCAAGGATTCGGCCATGCGCTCAGCTTTCTGAGCTTCTTTCAAGTCCTCATCGTTCTCCTCCTGGGTGGTGTTCTTGTCCTCGTAGGCCTCCACGTTGTAGGCATCAGCCCAATCCCATGGAGACCAATCTTCTTGTCCCCAGTCACCGGAGACATGAAATGAGTCCCAAGTGGCAGAGTGCCACTCAGCTTCAGGTTCTTCCTCCTCAACAGTGGCCAATTCGTGCCAGTTGGAGTTGAAGAGAGTTGGATGTGATGAGCGGCTGCCAGTGAACTGCTCGTCCCATAGGGTCTGGAGTGCCCTGTTCACCTCATCGAAGTCGAGGGATCCATGGGTCGCCGACAAAATGTCTCGGCGTTCATCAGCACTCAAACCTGCGGCTTGAAGAAGGCGGAACCCTCGCAAGACTCCGAGAACGAAGGAGTCTGCAAAGCTAAGCTCATTGAGCTCCTCACCAGCCAGTGAGGGCTGCACCCCAGCCGATCGTCGGCTAGGTGAAGACATCGTGCCTTGAAGTACACGTTGATATCCACCACCATGAGGCGAGCCACTCTCCGCTCGGGACGTAGACGCCGGCAATGTCGTAGTGGGTTGAGCCACGTTGGGATCGAAGTCACCATTCTCGGGGTCAGGAGCGTTCACATCGTCCTGCGGCCACTCAGCCCAATCATCCCACCATGCATCCCAGCCGGAGTCATAGTCCTGCTCATAGTCAGCCTCCTCAGCAGGAAGGCCAAAGTCCTTGTCCTCTTGTCGAATGCCACGCTTCTCCTCAGCCAGGCGCACCAAAGCCTCAACAAACTCAGAGAAGCCAAGTGCTTCCCTGACCAGGAACTGGGTCATAGGCTCGTGAGCCTTACGAGCAAAGCTGAAGTACTGATTGCAAATCGCCGAGGCGTTGGGGATGCTCTGGCGCACCAATGGAGAAGCAGCCAGGCGCTGCAGCAGAACCTTAGTGCCCCCATAGTCGTCCAGCGACATGTCACTCCAGCTCATAGCCAGTAGCCTCGCCGGGCCGGTGAGGCGTGAGAGGAGCTTGGTGGCAACATAGCGGCGCTTTGCCACCGGTGTAGCTCGGAAAAACCAGGAAACCTCTCTGGTGTATTTACGCCACGTTCGTGGCGACCCATCCCACGATGGGATAGAGAAGTTGCCATCTTCTTTGGACATGCTCGGGGCCGAAAACCAACTCAAAGGAAAAAGGATAGAGGGGCTTGCCAAGGTCCAGCTGCCAAGTCCGCGCGAGGACAATCTTCAGGATGTAGGGCTAGCAAAGGACCAAGGCGCTGGAGCTTGCGCTCCGCTACCATGTAGCGGGAGCGCAGCGGTAGCGAAAACAAAGGGCTCGAAGAAACCACGTCGATCGAAAGGCAGCCGGTGCCTATGGCTCTCTTTTCTAAGACCGCTGAGGTCTGGCTTCAAAAAGGGGCCCCTGAGCATGAACAGCCACGGTGGAAAAGTGGCATCTTTACATGGAAGCTCGATGCACGTGTTGCACATTCCCAGAAATGCTCGTGGCATACCAGTATGCAAACATATATCATATATCATCTTATAGGAAAGCCCCCTGTGTTGCCCGTGTATTGTTGAAAGGGCACTATTTTTGGACTCAGGAGTGGACTTCATCCATGTGACACATTCTGAGACTGCCACCATTGCTTTGCACCGCTTGGCTTGCAGCAGCTTGCTCCTGTGCGACACAACTACTTTGGATCGAGCTTTGTCTTCTTGCTGTGGATGATCTTCCTCCACTGGCGACGTCTGCATGGAAGTGGGGAACTGCCCGGTCTACGTCTGCATATGTCCATGTCCTGCAGCGGCGACGTAGGCACCACGGGCGGCATCAACCTGCCCGTGGGCTCCGTGGACGGAGCGAGAACGAACAGAGCGAAGAGCCTCGAGCGCAGCAAAAGCTTGGCTTCTGAGATATTCATCCTAAGAATGGGCTCTGATAGAGGTGTCTAATAAAACACATGTCGCTTGGCAAACCCAAATCATCCTGGAAAGAACAACATGAAGAATTAAGGAACAACGTAAAATTCACTCCGAACCAATCCAGCTGAGTCTGGCCTGGAGCTCGCCTCAGCCGGGGGTCCTGGCCACTGACTGTGACCAAACTGATGGAGCGGAAGGTCGACATCAAATTCCCGGTGGGACTTGTCATGTCGCCTTTTGAGGTACATAAACCAACCCAAGGTTCTCCAAAGGCAGTGGGTTTATGAATCGTTATACATTAGAGGACGGTGAAATCATGGAATCATTCGAGTCGTCGGTGAAATCCCTTCAACTCGTCGCTCAACTCGGCACCCATCGGCATCGGTTTCAACCGATGCGAGAATGAGGCGCCCACCACGTGTTCGGTTCTGTTGAAGATCTCCGGGGTGCTATCAAGAGTCAAACATTGTTTCAAGGCATCCTTAACTCATGGTCTTCTCTTTCCTTTATTGCGTTATAACGAGTAACTCTGTAAGACCGCAAAACCCTATGCCCCTACATGACCGGAGCTTCGACCTGCGCTGACCAATGACGATCCTGTTCTGCCACAACGTCGGTCATGGAGATGTCGAGTCATATGGAGTCATGCGGTTCAAGGCCATGTCGAAAGTTCACGATGTTCGATGCGCCATCCTACGGTGTCTGTCACAAGTTTCTAGTGTTTATGTTGTATTTTTTCATGTTTCTTCCTTAGGTCCCTATTATACTGCGTTCAGTTCCCAAAACAATTGAATCTTAGTCCACAATGAATGCTGCCAACACTGCCCACTGCACACCGCCGTGCACAAAAAATATGACAAAACACGCCATTAATTTACTTGCAAAAACATCGAACACGTATATAACATAGAAACTATTAGACCACTTCTGGCAATTCAGAAGCTCATCGTCTCCATGTCCCTTCTGGCCCAGGCTGTGATCTGTTCATCACCCGTGCTTCAATCGTCCTCCCTCCGGCCACCGTTTGTTGTTTCAGTCCTGCTTGCGCATCCTGGGAAACCCCACGCCGC